AAAATAATAATAATAATTTTTAAATCTTAATTGATATAATACCTTAAGATCTAGCTGAATATTTTTAAAGGAATTTTTAAAACGGCCTCAGGCATAGCTTTCACATATACACTATTAATGAAATACACTATCTGAAAAAGAGCTCAGTATAGGGTATAGATAAAAATAAATTAAGCAACCTTAAAAAAATTCCTACCATAAAGAATGAAGGAATTTTATTATTTTTTTTTTAAGCATGCAAATTTGTCTGGTGCTATCTGCATGGTAATAATTGGTTAGACATTATGAATGAATCCAGCAATAAATGTCTTAAATATATTGCTAAAGTTATATATGTATGTAACTTTAAATAATTTTATTTTTATTGACTCTTACATGCACTTGTAAAAAAGACATGTAAGCTTTTCCATATTACTTCACTCGTATAATATTTGTGAACTGTGTATTTGGTTCAAGTGCATATACATTGTTGTCTGTTTGTGTTTGTCCCTTCTTCTTCTTCCAGTCAAGCGCTTTCCGCTGCTTCAGTCTGTTTACTTCTTATTCTCGCTGTGCTCAATAGACTCGTGTGAATCTAAGCATTATTCTGGACCACCTCCACGACTAGTACTGTTCCCACTTCCGCTCCAGCTCCAGCTCCAGCTGCAGGCCCGCTTCGCTCCGTCTCTGTTTAGCAATTACTTTGAAGTGGCGCACTAGCCAACTATGTGCTCCATGGGCACCATTAAATTTGGCACACTTCATTGGCTCGCACAGAAATAATAATTTATTATTTAATTTTGCCAGCTCGCCCCATGGCGCGCGACACACAGATATAGAGAGTGGCAGAGGGAGGGAGAAAAGGAGAGGGGGGCTGATGTTGAAAAACGCGGTTGGCTAAGTTTAAAGTAATTAATTCCAGGAAGTGTCAAAGCTGCCATGCGGCTATACAAAATGTTGTGTATGCCGCCCTCCGCCCTCCGCCCCCGACAACGCCACGCCCAACAGCTTAAAGTGACCTCGTTTGAGGTCCTGGACATGACTCGGAATACAGCCATACAGAAATGTAGCTACAGTTAAAGCTGTCCCCGGGGGCGTCGTCTATTGCTTCCGTTTGTGGACATTAGCGGATGAATTAAGAATTTAAATTAATTTTTAATCTGGTATTTCTACGTCTGCGCGTCAACAAATCCCGCCTCGCCTGCGATTCATCATCTTCAAAGGCCAGCTACACGCAATTTGCGTTTAATTTATGCGCTCGTGTGTATGTGTGTCAGTATGTGTGGGTGTGTGTTAAAGACAAGCGAATTTAGTGCCTTGGGTCAGCGAATACTTTTGTGTGGCTCACGCCCCCACGCCCACATGCCCATTCGCCCACTCGCTCCGTTCGTCATAAATTAGAGGTGAGTCCTTTCTGCTTTTATCTAAATGGCGCTTCGCTTTTTACATTTTCGTATATTGCACAATAATTTAAATGCCCCAAATTTCATTAGGCGTCTTAAATACAATTTTATTGCATACTTAGGCCCGCCAAAGAAACATAAATAATGCTCCCTCTCAAGGTGCGCATTAAGTGCCCCATGATTATTCAAAAAATACCATTTGAGATGGAAGCGTTTAATTTGCGCAAATTACAGTCGATCCACATTCCTGGATGGGGCTTGGACTGCTCGGACCTGCTGCCCCTTCTCAACGTAGTCGTAATCGGAATCGCACTTGCAATCGCAGTCGGTAATCGAAATCGATAAGCGTAACCCGAGCTGACAATACACACAACCAAAAACCGCAAAGTAACGGACAGCAGAGAACAACCAGAAAATAAACTTTACTGCTGAAAAAAAAGAAGAATGGAATGGAAAGCAAATAAACATTGGGCGACCCACTTGACCCACTGTGGCAGTGGTTGTGCCGGTGGCGCCTCACCGCACCGCCGAATTGGCAAACAAAGCGAAATGTGCCAAATGAATAGCCAAAGTTGGGGCAGAAAGTGAGCAGGCGAAAACATTTTAAATGCAAATGAAGTGCCGCACTTAGGTAGCCAGCGATGTGAGATCCGGAGTTGGCCAACAGAAGCAGTAGAAAGGCAGAAAAGTGCCAGAAACGGAAAATGCGAAAATGCGAAAATGCGAACAGACGACAAGACGAAAAGGGGGAAATGCCAAATAGGAAATGGGCCAAGGAGTTGAGCACATCGAACAGCGCTGATAAATTAGTAGGAGAGAAACTTTGCTGCTGCACTTTGCTTCACAATTTGCGAACTGTTCTTCCCATTTTTTATGAACTTAAATTAAGCGCCTAAACAAATTTTCCTCTCTTTCTGCTGCCCCCTGCCCACAACGCACATAAATCAGTGAATGAGCCAAGCAAAGTTGTTGAAATGTATTTTTATGATAAATTTCAAAACAATTCTTAAGTGGTGTCTACTATGGACGTCCAGTCCGCCTGCGGCTCATATTCCCTAAAAAGCTTCGCGAGAGCCAGAAACTGAAAACTCAAAAAATTACTCATAAATAATAATCAAAACTCCGCAGCTTTTCGCTCGATACACTTGGTCTGCGAGGGGCTGCTCAGACTAATAATGGCTTCAAATACGATTAACATTTTTTATGAACACAATACAATTAACAAATTAACAAAGGAAATATAGCGAATATTGATATGGTATATCAAAATTATATATAAGGTAAAAAATGAGAAAAATATATAAAAGAAATTTATGCTTTATTTATTTATTTATTTATTTT